AGACAACTGATATGTCTGTCGAGAGCACTGTTGCGGAGGACATGTGTCCTCATTCTGGATGAGGCGACGGCTGCCGTGGACTTAGAGACCGACGCTTTAATACAGACAACCATACGATCGAAGTTCAATCGCTGCACAGTCTTAACGATCGCCCATCGGATCCACACAATCATGGACTCCGACCGCGTACTCGTCCTCAACGACGGACGCGTAGCAGAGTTTGACGCACCGAATGTGTTGCTCACGAATACCAACTCTATCTTCCACTCACTCGCCAGAGATGCCGGACTTGTATAGTGATAGAGGGTATATGGTGGTAAGTGAGAAGTATGTGTCAGGGTATAATTATTGTTTACTTTTAATAATTACATAATTACAAAATAAATATTATTTATTAATTGTATTTTATATTATTTTTATGTGTTGTTAATAATATTCATTCTTATTCTAACGTGATACTAATTAATATAAAGTATAATAACTATATTCATATTTTGTAAACTTTGCAATTGTAACAGTAAACATTATTAAATAAACACAAGTAATTAATTTTTGATCAATTAAAAAGTTGCCTTATATTTTAAACATTAAATTACATAAATTATGTTTTATTAATACAATTGTGAAATTAAAGTTATACAAAACACTTTACAAACAGCATTTTGATATGAAATTAAATATTCAAGAATGATGATGGTAATATACAGTCTATATAGTAATAGAAACAACAATTATCATTTAATATCTTTACGACAAATGGCTGTCTTGTGGTTAGTAGTGATGAAATTGATTTCAGTTTCATTCAATTGCGACCATTTCTTGACGAACTCACAGGCAGTGGTCCAGAGTCTGGCCTCTGAAGAGTTGGTCTTAACGGTGCCGGAGATTACGTACACTTCGGGCGCCGACAGCCGACTAATACCGCACACCGAACTCTGGCCTCGACTGTAGAGTTTGCCCGACCGGAGGGTCGCGTTCAGCGCCGGATCGCCGCTTCCTTTGATCACATCCAACACATCGATGCCATACCAGACGTCGCGGCCATCGGTTTGCTTGCCTTTTGTCACATTGAGTTTCACCATGAATTCCGATGAACAGTAATAGTCACTGATGTTTTGGCTCTGACACGAACACCCGGCGCACACCTGTGCCAAACATGCGAGCATGATCACTTTTATAAAATTCATATTTTATCAACTTGGTGACACTTTTTGAGTATTTAATTTAATTTTTCACTTTTTAATAGTAAAATATATTTGTTGTGTTGTTTAGCATTTGGTTTAGTTTTTTAATGGAGTTTTTGTTTTCAAAGTAAATATTTTATGTGTAAATATGTTATGAATTTTATAATTAAATAAATGCTTAAACATTATATTATAACGGGTTTACAATTTTTCACGTGTACTAACTGTGGGTATTTATGCTATGTTTTCATATATGGTATGTATTTTCACTGTATATTTCAAAAAGTGTTTACTATTTTTAATATTAAATAGTTTTTTATTTTAGTTTATTTTAAGCACTTTTTAATCTATTTATTAAATAATTTTAACACAATTTTTAAAATTTAAATTATTTACAAAAAAACGTGTTTTTATTAGAAATTAGTGTCAAATACTTATCTAAAAAGTGTATGGATTTAAGTGATTATCCGGTATTTCCAGTTCATCGCAAAAATGTAGTTAGTTTTGTTTAATTAATAAAAATTACTTTCAATTTTTGGTGGGTTTTTAGAAATTCTTACGTAAAAACAAATGCTATATTTTTAATTAAAAATTTTAATAATAAATATTATTAACAGATAATCTATTTCAAGTAAATAATAACTACAAAACTAGCAACAACAAATATATTATTTGTTAATGTTATCTCTATAATTCAACATCAAACTAAGTAATTTTAAAATCAAAATACAAGTTACAAAATTCAGAAATACAACAAATTGTATTAATTACCATAATTATATCTCAATATTGGGAAATCAGAATTAATTACAACACAAAACGCTAATTAAATCAATTATTTCGTAGTCTTCTGTTTAGACTTCTCGATGGCCTCCAAATCCAAGACCTTTCGGGCAAATGACTTGATATCGTCGCACATAAGTCGGGGCTCTTCAAAGGCCCCGAAATGTCCCCCTCTGGCCATCTCTGTGTACTGAACGAGATTGCGGTACTGATGGGCGTTAATGGCTCGCGACCCGCGGATTATCTCGTTGGGAAAGTCGGCCACAGCCGCCGGCACCGACTTAGACACCGGTATCCTATGATAATGAATTGTAAAACAAATTTTATATTATTGAGAGCCTAGTTGTAAATATAAATGTATGTTATACTGAACTGATCAAGCATAACTTTGACGAAACTCTCCTTATAGAAACGCATACTCGACGCCACGTTATTTGATGTCCAGTAGATCATTATGTTTGTCAACAACTCGTCCAGGGTAAACTTTTGAGTGAGCCCACCGTCCACTTTGCCCACATTATCAGGGTCAGTCCACGTCGTGAACTTTTCCAGTATATATGCGGCCAAACCGACGGGACTGTCGACGAGTGCGGCGCCCACTGTATCCGGTTTAGTAGCCTGAATGTGCATATATCCCGCCTCTCTCATGGACCATGATAACTTGTCTAAAAAGGGATAGTGTTTGGCGTAATCGACTTTTGGGTTTTCAAACACAAGCCCCGGGGCGTACATTCCGACCAAGAACTTAAACCATTGTATTCCCCTCATATTGAGTACACCAGACATTGATATATGCACACCACGAATACTGTAGTAAAATTGTATTATAGCTATTAATAAATAAATAACAATAAATATTGCATATATTTTATGAACGTACTGTTCCGGGTATATTTTGGCCATGGCTTGAGAGATGGCAAACCCCCAATCGCCTCCGTGAACAAAAAACCTCCGGTGATTTAACCGCTCCATCAGTTTGACAAATATGCGGGCCGTTTGACTTACATCAAAACCTATTGTATGTAAAACGATCATGGTCAAACATTGTTTTACTATCAAAAATTATATAGAAACTTTAAAAATACTATTATCAATCTCAATATATTAATATTAGAATGAAATTTTAGTATGACATTAATTATAATTAATTATTAATGTAATAATACAAACCGGGCTGATGCGGGGCTTCAGAGAAACCATAGCCAGGAATTGACGGACAGATCACTTCAAAGGCCACATCATTGGTCGGTTCAATCAGCAGTGGTATAGACTTGTAATACTCCCAAACAGATCCGGGCCATCCGTGGATCACCTGTAGGCCAATCATCAGAATTATAATACAAATAATGCCATAAATACACAATTAAAAGGCTGTCAATGCATACCATAAGTGGGATAACAGTTTTGGCCGGTTTTGATGGCTTAACGTGAATGAAGTGAATATCAATGCCATTAATACGTGTCTTGTATTGATTGAATTGATTCAAAATCTTCTCCTGTT